ATATATAAAACAATTTAGCGGGCGTGTCAAGCCGTAATCCAGCACTTTGGAGCGAGACGGGATAGAGTCAGAGATGAAGACATCCGGAAACGGTGAAACCCTCTATAAAAAATACAAAAAATAGCCGGGCGGGTGGCGGCGCTGTAGTACTCGGGGCGAGGCAGGGAGGCGTAACCGGAGGCGGACTTGCATGAGCTGAATCCGGCACTGACTCCAGCTGGTGACAGAGCAAATCTCTCAAAAAAAAAAAAAAAAAAAAACAACTTTAACATGGATAAATCTTGAGGACATTACATAAGTGAAATAAGCCCATCACAAAAAGGCAAATACTGTATGATTCCTTTACATTGAAGTATCTAAAGGAGTCAAACTCATAGAAAAAAAAGTAGAATGGTGGCTGCCAGGAGCCGGGGAGGATGAGGAAGGGAGGATTGCTGTTTAATGGGTACAGAGTCTCAGATCTGCAAAATGATGAAGTTTTGGAGCCCTGCTATCCAACAGTGTGAAAATTGTTAAGATGATTAATTTTCTGTTATATGTTTTTTGCCGCAAATTTTAAAATAAAATAAGTAATTTTTTTAAATTAAAAAATCAGGCCGGGCGCAGTGGCTCAAGCCTGTAATCCCAGCACTTTGGGAGGCCCAGGCGGGTGGATCACGAGGTCAGGAGATCGAGACCATCCTGGCTAACATGGTGAAACCCCGTCTCTACTAAAAATACAAAAAACTAGCCGGGTGTGGTGGTGGGCGCCTGTAGTCCCAGCTACTTGGGAGGCTGAGGCGGGAGAATGGCGTGAACCCGGGAGGCGGAGCTTGCAGTGAGCCAAGATCGCGCCACTGCACTCCAGCCTGGGAGACACAGCAAGACTCCGTCTCAAAAAATAAATAAATAAATAAATAAATAAATAAATAAATAAATAATAAATAATTTTATTAATAAATAAATAAATTAATTAAAAATTAATTAATTAAAAACAGTTTTAAGTATCTGTTTTATTTTATTTGCATGTGAACTATGGATTTTCTACCAATTCTGGAATATTAACATTTCAGAATTTTATTTCCCAGGTATAACCTAAGAAAAGAAAAAAACAGAGGGACAGAAAAACTGGAAGAGGGAAAGAAAAAAGAATTGCTTGGAGCCTGGGCGCCGTGGCTCACATCTGTAATCCCAGCACTTTGGGAGACTGAGGCAGGAGGATCGCTTGAGCCCAGGAGTTTGAGACCAGCCTGGGCAACATAGCAAGACACTGTCTCTAAAAAAAAAAAAAAAAAAAGTTTTAATTATCCAAGTGTGATGGTGCATGCCTATAGTCCCAGCTACTCGGGAGGCTGAGGCGGGAGGATTGCTCAAGTCCAGGAGGTCAAAGCTACAGTAAACCGTGATCACACCAGTGTACTCCAGCCTGAGACACAGAGCATGATGTTGTCTCAGAAAAAGAAAAAATTGCATGGAGGAAAGATCGGGAAGATTATACCCTAATAGGACTCGGCAATACCCTCCCTTTCTATCTTCTATCATTTGTATTGTTTTATGATAAAAAAATCTAAAAACAGAAACATAGAAAAATGAAACCAATTTTAAAAAAATATTTTAAAATATTTTGTAGCTTGTGACATTTAGGAACAAAATTAAAATGAAAATATTTTGGTTAAAGAAAAAATTCCAGCCAGGCGCGGTGGCTCATGTTTGTAATCCCAGCACTTTCGGAGGCCGAGGGCAGAACACTTGAGGCCAGGAGTGTGAGATCACCCTGGCCATCAAAGTGAAACCCCACCTCTACTAAAAATATAAAAATTAGCTGGGTGTAGTAGTGCACGCTTGTAATCCTAGTCGCTTGAACCTGGGGGGCAGAGGTTACAGTGAGCTGAGATCGCACCACTGCACTCCAGTCTGGGCAACAGAGCAAGACTCCGTCTAAAAAGGAAAGGAAAGAAGGGAAAGGAAGGGAAGAGGGGAGGGGAAGAGGGAAGGGAAGAGGGGAAGGGAAGAGGGGAAGGGAAGAGGGGAAGGGAAGAAGGGAAAAAGGGAAGAAGGGAAGAAGGGAAAAAGGGAAGAAGGGAAGAAGGGAGGAAGAGGGGAAGGGAAGAGGGGAAGGGAAGAAGGGAAGGGAAGAGGGGAAGGGAAGAAGGGAAGAAGGGAAGGGAAGGGAAGAGGGGAAGGGAAGATAGGGAAGAAGGGAAGGGAAGAAGAGAAGGGAGGGGAGGGGAGGGGAGGGGAGGGGAGGGAAGGGAAGAAGGAAAGGGAAGAAGAGAAGGGAGGGGAGGGGAGGGGAGGGGAGGGTGGGAAGGGAAGGGAAGGGGGAAGGGGGAAGGGGGAAGGGGGAAGGGGGAAGGGGAAGGGGGAAGGAAGGGAAGGGAAGGGAAGGGAAGGGAAAAAAATTCCAGGACTTGAAAACAAGCTGGCATGGGGGTTGCAGGGGATGTACCAGGGCCTCCTCACTCTGAAGTTCACATGTGGACCCACCAGTCAGCACGTAGTGGGATTGGGGATTGTCCCAGGGGGCCTGGCTGGTGGGGCATCCGCAGGAAACAAATGGATGCAGGAAACAGCTGGACGGGAAGCCCAGAGAGGAGCGGCTGCCATTCATAGGTTTGCAGCTGGTGGGAGGCGCCCCCTCCCAAGGAGGGGTGGTGGTAGGGCCCTCTGCACAGAGGTGAGGAAGCACTAGCCTCACTGAGGTACCCAGGAGAGGGGTGCAGGTACAGATGGAGGTGCAGGAAGGCCTCAAATGCCAGACAAGGCTGTAAGTTTGGAGCTGGCCAGTGAACAGGGAGCCAGTGACAGTTTCAGGGCAAAGAGGGCTGTGATGAGGGAGGCTTCAGGAAGCTCACTTTAGCAATGTGTGGGCCAGTCTCCACTGGGTCCCACTGAGGGGGTGAGAGATTGAGGAGTTGGGGACTAGGCCCACCAGAGTCCCACCTCCTGATGCTCCACTGAACTTCCCCCTGGGGAACCAACCCCCTCTTGACACCCCTCCTACTGACCTCTTCCTCCCCCGGGGACAGAGAGAAGAGCCACAGCATTCTGGGAGGAATTCTACCTCGAAACCTCTGCCAGGGCTGGGTGCGGTGGCTCATGCCTGTAATCCCAGCACTTTGGGAGGCCGAGGCAGGCAGATCATTTGAGGCCAGGAGTTCAAGACCAACCTGGGCAACATGCTGAAACCCCGTCTCTACTAAAAATACAAAAATTAGCCAGGCATGGTGGCAAGCTCTTGTAGTCCCAGCTACTTGGGAGGCTGAGGCACGAGAATCACTTGAACCCGGGAGGCAGGGGTTGCAACAAGCCGAGATTACACCACTGCACTCCAGCCTCGGTGACAGAGTGAGACTCCATCTCAAAAAAAAAAAAAGAGGAAGGCCGGATGTGGTGGCTCACACCTGAACTCCCAGCACTTTGTGAGGCCGAGGTGGGTGGATCATGAGATCAGGAGTTCAAGATCAGCCTGACCAACATGGTGAAACCCTGTCTCTACTAAAAATACAAAAATTAGCTGGACGTGGTGGCATGTGCCTGTAATCCCATCTACTCAGGAGGCTGAGGCAGCAGAATCGCTTGAACCTGGGAGGTGGAGGTTGCAGTGAGCCTAGATTGCGCCATTGCACTGCAGCCTGGGAGACAGAGCGAGTCTCTGTCTCAAAATAAAACCACTTCTTGGACCCAGGTTCCCAGAAGCCTTTGCATGGGGTTGGATGGGTGCCATATTCCCATATCCCCATGTCCATGCACGGCTTTCTGTTCCCCATGTAGACTTTACATGGAGTCCCAGTCTCTCTAGCACCCCCAGCCCCACTGCCACTGTTACTGTGTCTGGTCAGCCCCTGGGCCCTGGGCTATGCTACCTGTCAGCCTCCTGCCCATTCTGCTGTGGTCCCATTTGACTTCTCTAAGCAAGACAAGAAAGATCAAGGTTCTTGCCCCCTCAGACTGACATTTACGGCCTTGCCTTGTGCCATCTGGCCCCAGGCAGTCTCATCTCTCACTGCTCCCTCCTGCTGTAGCCTCACTGCCTACTGGGTGAAGCTGGGGATCCCACCATGAAGCTTCTCTGTGGGCCACTCCTCCCACCAGACACTCCTGCCCTCATCAACTGTCCCTAATACAGTGCGCAGCATACGGCTGCTTATTGGCTACGTGAATTGAGAGGCAGATGCAAGGTGCCATTCATGCCTTCCAGCCCCAATCGCCACCATCCTGGCTGGCCTAGTGCCCAGAAGGGTTCTCTTTCCTGTCCCCAGCAGCTCAGGGGCCCTGGGAGATCCCAGTAGGCTGCCTGCCCGTGTCTTACACAGTCACTCTTTGTTAGGCCTCGCCCCTGAGGGCATCTTATCTGCCCAAATAGTTTGTAATCTCTGGAGTCACAGACCCCTGCCTCCTGCCAACCTGGAGTACACAGCCCTTTTGCAGAGAGGCTGGTGGCAACTCGGAGACTACCACGCACCACACCCCTGCCAGCGTTACAGCCCGCCAGGCCCCCTCCTGCTGGGTTTGGCAGGAAATCGCAGCTCCCAGTCATCAGGTCCCCAGACCCTTAAGGAGCTGAGAGACCTCTGGCTCTGTGGTCTGGGCTGTCTTTCCCCCACCCCTTCTGCACTCACTGCTCAAACTCTTCTCCCAGCTTCTGTGCGAATTCTTCCTAGTGCACCATGGGGCTCCTCCCTCCCTGGAACCTGAGCTCCTTGAGGGCGGTGTCTGGTCTCCTTTTGCCCTTGAAGGAATTGGGGCTCTCAGAGGCGAAATGACTTGCCCAAGGTCACACAGGTAGGGTGAGGTGGGGACAGGAAAAGCCAGATGGGCCTGGCTCCACACGCCCCCACCATCCCCAGAGTCCCCAGGCTTCCACTCAAGATGCAAAATACACACCTCACTGGCCACTGGCTCTGCAAAAGCTGAGGATCGCTTTACTGGAATCCCCCAACCGGAAGACGCAGTCCTGAGGCCGCATGCAGCGCTGGGCCAGAAGGCTGTGCTCGACCCAGGAGACACAGGACACGAAGCCGGAGTGTAGGTGTGTTTATTCCTGTACAAATCATTACAAAACCAAGTCTGAGGCAGTCGCCGCCCCCACCCATCACCCCAGTGTGCAATGGCTAGCCGCTGGCCTCCTCCATCTGGTCCCCCGGCCTCACAGCCTCCTCCTGAAGCCCTTCCCTTCCAGGCTCCAGAAGAACAAGAAACAAACACAACCCACTGAGGCCCAGCTTTAATAAAGTGCCTGATAACAGAGCCAGGGGACAGAACCAGGAGACACAGCTCCCGGCAGTCATCCCAGGATGACAGGGGGTCGGGGGAGACCCTCAGAAGCCCCCAGTGGCTCCAGACAAAGGAGCAGCCCCAAAGGCACCTCCAACAGTCGGAAAACCTCCCTGCTAGAGGGCAGAAAAGCAGTCCTGGCCCTTAAAGAGCCAAGCTAATGGCAGCTGGCTGAGGGGCTAAGAAAACAGCTTAAGGTTTGTCCCATTCCCTTCAGAGTCCCCCAATCCTAGAGGAGTTTGCACAAAAATACCCTAAAGTTTTCCAGGAGGTGGGGAGGTCACCCCAGACCCCCCAAAGAGCTGAGCCTCCCAGCAAGGGATAGTGGCTGGGGGGGGTCCAGACGGGGAGGGCAGACCCGAGGGCACTTGTAGGGGAGGTGGCAAGGGTCTCAGACTCCGCACTGGAAACTGGCGTGGGCAGAAGGGTGCCCACAGAGGGGGAAGGGTTTGTCCAAGGTTGCTCAGGGCAGAGCCAAGACCTGGATGCCAGCCTCCCACCTCTGGGACCTCCCCACCGCCCCCACAACCTCCACAACCCCAAAAATTCTCTGGCCAGGCCTCCAGACAGCTTCTACCCCCACACAATCTCTCTTTCTGGTGCTAGAAATTTGAGGGGACACCACCAAGTTCCCAGCTCCTTGGGACAGGACCTCATTATCCCAGCAGAGTGGGGAGTGACTGGGGGGTCCATTCCCGGGGCTCTGAACCAAGGCCTCATGGGGAAGGATATGTCCTTAGCCTCAGATCGACTCAGAAATACCCCTCTACCCTGATTGACTGTGCGCAGACCCTGACTGCACAAGAAAGACACCCCTGATTAATCACATAGACTTCCAAATCCCTGATTGGCCAACAGATGCCCCAGGTCCTGATTGGCTGGAGGATACATCCTCCTCAAGGCCCTGATTGGCTGGGAGACACTCGGGCGAGCTTTGATTGACCAGAAGGTGGTCCCTATCCCAGCGGCTGGGCGGAGGCTGCTTCTCCTCCGACCCTCCTGAGGTCCCACAGGCTGGGTGGCTTAGGTCCAGGAGGGGTGGGAGAAGGTGATGCCATACAGCTGGGCCCAAGACGAGAAGACCCTTTTCTCGGTGATAAAGCGGTGGTGGTTGCCCTTGCGGCTGTGCTCATTCTGGATGTAGGTGACACATTCGTCCGGCCCCTTGGGCTCGTAGTAGTGGTAGGGCATGCGCTGGAGGCGGGGCCGCTGGCTGGGACAGAGAAGACGGGAGTCATCAGGGCAGGCTGGGCGCTGGCAGGGTCCTTGCCCTTTCAGCCCCTCGCCTGCCATAGGACCTCAATAAGAGAAATCCCCACACCACACCTTCTGGGGCCTCGGCTTCCCCATCCGTAAAATGGGTGCAGGGTGGACTAGGTTTGTAACCACCAAATTTTTTTTTTTTTTTTAATGCAGTGGCACTTTTTCCTTTCCCCAAGAGGGCGGCAGTGTAGAGCAGTGGTGAGGGCTGTGGGCACTGGAGCCTGGTCCCTCTTCCTGCTGTTTGGAGGACCTCTGGCTACTCATAAAACGTACTCCTCAGTTTTTCTCATTTAATAAATGGGAAGAACGGGCCGGGCGCGGTGGCTCAAGCCTGTAATCCCAGCACTTTGGGAGGCCGAGGCGGGTGGATCACGAGGTCAGGAGATCGAGACTATCCTGGCTAACATGGTGAAACCCCGTCTCTACTAAAAATACAAAAAACTAGCTGGGCGTGGTGGCGGGCGCCTGTAGTCTCAGCTACTTGGGAGGCTGAGGCGGGAGAATGGCGTGAACCCGGGAGGCGGAGCTTGCAGTGAGCCGAGATCACGCCACTGCACTCCAGCCTGGGAGACACAGCGAGACTCCGTCTCAAAAAAAAATAAATAAAATAAAAAATAAATAAATAAATAAATAAATGGGAAGAACAACAGCTCTTATCCCATAAGGTTGCTGTGAGGAGTGAGAAACTACATGTAGCCATGCTTGGTACCTGGTCAGTACTCAGTAAAGTATAGCTGTCCCCTAGTGGGCTTTTCATATATAATGCTACTACTAATAGTTATTATTAATAAATCAACTGTGGCTGAACTTGGAGTGGAGGCCCCTGAGGAAGCAGAAGAAGTCTAGATCTCTGCAGAACAGTTTGAAAACAATGAAGCAGAGGCCCTCAAAGGCACCTTCAGCCAAGGTTTCCAGCCCTCCCAGCTCCATCCTGCGGCCGGTGCCTGAGTGTTGTCCTGGGAGGGCGCTGGCAAGGAGGGCTCACCTGCAGTAGTTCGGGGGGACCATGCCATATACGTGCACGTGGTCACACAACTCCACCGCAATCACCATGGTAAACCAGCCTGTGCTCAACCATGAATGAGACTTCTCCCTGGGGATCAATAGGGGTCACGATGAGGGTGCATGCAGGCAGAGATGGGAGCAGGTGATCCAGGGTCACCCACGTGGAGTTCCCTGGAACTCCTCCCATCCACCCATTGGGGCCCCACCCCTACCTTGGTTACCCCAAGTCCAGCCTCGTGTGGGAGCATGGCATGTGGCAGAGGGCTGTCCAGGCAGAGGTGAGGGGTGTGGAGGGAGCTCCTTTGAGGGGAAGAACAGGAACAGGGCATGCTGAAAATGAACTGTCTCCTGGGGAGCCGGGTCACAGTTGGGCAGGCTGAGTGACTATGATGATAGAGCATGCTGAAAACAGCTGTGCCCATGCTAGAAGCAGACTCCTAAGGGGAGACTAATCAGATACGTTCATGCTGGAGTGAGTGCAGTTCAGAGCTAGGCCAGAAGGAGTAGCCCAGAACCAAGAGCTGTGCTCACACTACAGTGGCCACCAGCCATGTGTGATTGAGATGGGCTGTCTGTATAAATACACACTGCATTTCTTAGGTAGTATGGAAAAAAGAAGGGAGGCCAGGCGTGGTGGCTCATACTTGTGATCCCAGGACTTCAAGACCAGCCTGAGGAACATAGTGAGACCTCATCTCTACAGAAAATTAAAACTCAGCCAGGTGCGGTGGCTCATGCCTGTACTCCTAGCACTTTGGGAGGCTGAGGTGGGTGGATCACCTGAGGTCAGTAATTCGAGATCAGCCTGGCCAACATGGCGAAACCCTGTCTCTACTAAAAATACAAAAATTAGCCAGGCATGGTGGCACGTGCTTGTAGTCACAGCTACATGGGAGACTGAGGCAGGAGAATTGCCTGAATCCAGGAGGTGGAGGTTGCAGTGAGCCGAGACTGCACCACTACACTCTAGCCTGGGCAACAGAGTGAGACTCCATCTAAAAAAAAAAAAAAAAAAAGGCTGGGCGCAGTGGCTTACGCCTGTAATCCCAGCACTTTGGGAGGCCGAGGCGGGTGGATCACAAGGCCAGGAGTTCAAGACCAGCCTGACCAACATGGTGAAATCCTGTCTCTATCAAAAATACAAAATTAGCAGGGCATGGTGGCACGTGCCTGTAATCCCAGCTACACAGGAGGCTGAGGCAGGAGAATTGCTTGAACCTGGAAGGCAAAGGTTGCAGTGAACAGAGATTGTGCCATTGCACTCAAGCCTGGGCAACAGAGTGAGACTATGTCTCAAAAAAAAAAAAAAAAAATTTATATATATGTAAAATTAGCCAGGTGTAGTGGCACGTGCCTGTGGTCTCAGCTACCTGGGAGGCTGAGGTGGGAGGATTGTTTGAGCCTACAAGGTTGAGGCTGCAGTGATCTGTGATCATACCACTGCACTCCAGCCTGGCTGAGAGAGTGAGACTTTATCTCAAAAACAAAAACAAAATCCTCTGGCAAAACTGACAAAGAAAAAGAGAGAGGACATAAATCACCAATATCAGGAATAAAAGAGAGAAAATCACCACCATAGACCCTATAGACATTAAAAGGATAATAAGAAAATTCCACAACCACATACAGACATTTGACAACTTAGATAGAATGAGCCAATTCCCTAAAACCCATAAATGACCATAATTTACTCAAGATGAAATAGATAACCTGAATATCCTATAATAAAGAAATTGAATTCACAGTTTAAAATCTTCTGAAAAAGAACTCTCCAGGCCAAGATACTGTCGCCGGCAAATTCTACCAAACACTTAAAGAGAAGCACAATTCTACATAGTGTCTTCCAGAAAATAGAAGAAGGAACATTTCCTAATTCATTTTCTGAGGCCAGCATGACCCTGATACCAAAATCAAGCAAAAACAGCACCAAAAAAACCTACAGACCAATACCTCTCATGAACACGAACACAAAAATCTCTGATGGATATGATTTGCTAATGTTTTGTATATATATAAATACATCCCTTGGCCAGGTGTAGTGGCTCACGCCTGTAATCCCAACACTTTGGGAAGCTGAGGCAGGTGGATCACCTGAGGTCAGGAGTTCGAGACCAGCCTGGCCAACATAGTGAAATCTCGTCTCTACTAAAAAAATACAAAAATTAGCCAGGCATGGTGGGCGCGCACCTGCAGTCCCAGCTACTTGGGAGGCTGAGGCAGGAGAATCGCTTGAACCCAGGAGGCGGAGGTTACAGTGAGCCGAGATCACGCCACTGCACTCCAGCCTGGGCCACAGAATAAGACTTCATCTCAAAAAATAAATAAAATAAAAAATAAATACATACATCCCAAAGAAGTGATATTTACTCCAGAAGTGCAGAGCTGATTCAATATTCAAAAATCTTAGCCTGAGCAACACAGCAAAACTCCGTCTTTACTAAAAATACAAAAATTACAGGCATAGTGTTGCATGCCTGTACTCCCAGCTACTAGGGAGGCTGATGTGGGAGGATCACTTGAGCCTGATAGGTGGAGGCTGCAGTGAGCCATGATCATGCCACTGCATTCCAGCCTGGGCCTCAGAGGGATACCCTGTCTCAAATAAAACAAAAACAAAAATAAAAACAAAACAGTCAATATAATCCACCATATTAATAGTCTTAAAAAAAAACACATGATCATATAAATTGCTGCAGAAAAACATTTCATAAAATTCAATATCTTGTAATAATAAAAATTCTCAGGAAACTAGTAAGAGAAGGGAATTTCGTCAGCCTGATAAAGGGTAGCTACAAAAAACCTATAGCTACCCCGATCAAAGTAGCTACAAAAAACCTACGGAATCGCTTGAACCCGGGAGGTGGAGGTGCAGTGAGCCAATCAATTTCTCTTTTTTTTTCTTTTTTGAGACAGAGTCTCGCCTTGTTGCCCAGGCTGGAGTGCAATGGCGCGATCTCAGCTCACTGAAACCTCCACTCCCGGATTCAAGCAATTCTCTTGCCTCAGCCTTCCGAGTAGCTAGGATTACAGGCACGTGCCACCACGCCCAGCCACAAAAATCAATATCTTTTTTTTTTTTTTTTCTGAGATGGAGTCTCGCTCTGTCGCCCAGGCTGGAGTGCAGTGGTGCGATCTCGGCTCATGCCATTCTCCTGCCTCAGCCTCCTGAGTAGCTGGGACTACAGGCGCCCGCCATCTCGCCTGGCTAATTTTTTGTATTTTTAGTAGAGACAGGGTTTCACCGTGTTAGCCAGGATGGTCTCGATCTCCTGACCTCGTGATCTGCCCGCCTCGGCCTCCCAAAGTGTTGGAATTACAGGCGTGAGCCACCGCGCCCGGCTGCACAAAAATCAATTTCTATATGCCATTTCTATATATTAACAATTAATATTTGGGGCCGGGCGTGGTGGCTCAAGCCTGTAATCCCAGCACTTTAGGAGGCCGAGACGGGTGGATCACAAGGTCAGGAGATCGAGACCATCCTGGCTAACACGGTGAAACCCCGTCTCTACTAAAAAATACAAAAAACTAGCCGGGCGAGGTGGCAGGCGTCTGTAGTCCCAGCTACTCGGGAGGCTGAGGCAGGAGAATGGCGTGAACCCGGGAGGCGGAGCTTGCAGTGAGCTGAGATCCGGCCACTGCACTCCAGTCTGGGCGACAAAGCGAGACTCTGTCTCAACAACAACAACAAAAAAAAACAAAAACAAAAAACAATTAATATTTGGGAACAAAAAAATATTAATACCATTTATAATAGCTCCAAAATTGTTTTAATATCTAGGTATACATCTAACAAAATATGTACAGGAGCTATATGTTGAACATATTGGGTTAAAAGAATATATGAAAGTTGCTTTTACTACTTTTTCTTAAAGAGATGTAAGATGTAGTCTCATTCTGTCACCCAGGCTGGAGTACAGTGGCACCATCGTGGCTCACTGCAGCCTTGACCTCCTGGGCTCAAGTGATCCTCCTGCCTCAGCCTCCTGATTAGCTAGGACTACAGGTACAAGCCACTGTACACAGCTATTCACTAATTTTTAACTGTGATTACTATGAAAATAAATTACATATGTGACTCACATAGATTTCTATTGGGCAGCACTGGCCTAGCTTTCCTAGGGAGATTAGTCACAGCAGGGCATGCTGGGAGTGATACATACCTGGAACACAGCATGCCGGGAGCAACTGTGTGCTTAAGGCAAGACATGCCGGGAACAGTCAAGACTTTACATTGGGTACACTATGGGGAGCTTCTCTTAGAAAGATGCTAGGAGTGACTGTGCAACCTCAGAGCAGAGCATGCTGGGTGGGAGCCCTTGTGCCCTCAGAGTAAGGTATGCCACGAGGAAGCCCTCTTGGACAAACCAGGCCATGCAGAGCATGTTGGAAAGGACCCATGTGAACGGCTGGACATGAAGAGAACTCTCCTAGGAGACCCAGCCAGAGGACAGCAGGACTGGACTACCCCTCAGAGCAGTGCATGCTGGGAGCAACAGGCCCTCTGGATGGGGCATGCTGAGAAGGAGCACAGGGCTGGACAGAGGGGGCAGGCGGGAGGCTGGTACCTGTCCTTGCCCGTCTCACCCCGGAAGAGGTCGTCAAATTGCTGCATGCGGCCGGGAGAGACGGCATATGCTTCCATGTTGGGGAACACCAGGCCCGCCCGCTGGATCACACGCACGAGGCTGCCCTGGGGCTTCTGCATTTTGCTCGGGGGCCCCCAGAAGATGAACACGGTTTCAGGGGTCCGGTTGACAAACTCCTGGGGCCTCCTCAGCACGCGGAACACACTGGAATGGGCCACGACGCGGTAGGTGGTCTTGTTGCCCACATCAGCTGAGTAGCCAGTGGTGGGCGCATCGTTCATGCGGATTGTACACTCAGCCCGCTCGATCTCAGGGCCCAGCTTGGTGCCCAGCAGGTGGCTGGAGCTGCTGACAATCACACACTGGTGGCACCGAGAGGGCAGCGTCTGGGGGACAAGGAAAGTCAACATTATCACGGCCACTCTGTGCTGGGCCCTGTGCTCCATACATCCAGGCCTCCAGGACCCAGGAATTGTTATGCCCATTTTAAAGAAAGGGAAACGGAGGCCCATTCATTCAACATTCAACACACATTGATAGCAAGCTGGTTAATGGCCAAGTCCTGGGGCAGAGCACGGAGCAAAACAGATCAGGCTTCTGCCTTCAAGAAACAGGTGGAGAGACAGATAAGAATGTACATAATACATGCCAGGAAAAAAAAAAGAAAACAGTGGCAAATGGCTAGGCACGGTGGCTCACGCCTGTAATCCCAGCACTTTGGGAGGCCAAGGCAGGCAGATCACTTGAGGTCAGGAGTTTGAGACCAGCCTGGCCAATATGGTGAAACCTCATCTCTACCAAAAAATACAAAAATTAGCCAGGCGTAGTGGCGCGTGCCTGTAATCACAGCTACTCAGGAGGTTGAGGCACCAGAATTGCTTGAACCTGGAGGTAGAGGTTGCAGTGAGCCTAGATTGCACCACTGCATTTAAGCCTGGGTGACAGAGCAAGACTCTTGTTGAAAGAAAGAAAGCAAAGGAAGAAAAGAAACAAGGAAAGGAAAGAAGAAAGAAAAAAAAAGAGAAAGGAAATGAAAGAGGGGAAAAGGAAAGGAAAGGAGAGGAGAGGAGAGGGAGAAGGGGGGGGGAGAGGGGAGGTACGGGGGAGTGGGAGAGGGAGAGGGAAAGGGGAGGGAGGGGAAGGGAAAGGAGGGGAAACAGGGGCAAGTGACCAAAGAGCGACTGCAGCCGGGGCTACTTTAGAAAGGTGGCCTGGAAGTCCAGGTGCGGTGGCTCATGCCTGTAATCCCAGCACTTTGGGAGGCCGAGGCGGGCAGATCACCTGAGCTCAGGAGTTCAAGACCAGCCTGACCAACATGGAGAAACCCTATCTCTACTAAAAATACAAAATTAGCAGGGCGTGGTAGCACACGCCTGTAATCCCAGCTACTAGGGAGGCTGAGGCAGGAGAATCGCTTGAACCTGGGAGGCAGACGTTGCGGTGAGTCGAGATCACACCACTGCACTCCAGCCCGGGCAACAAGAGTGAAATTCGGCCTCAAAAAAAAAAAGAATCTAATTTGGGAGAGGAATCTAACATAACTGACTCCATCCTGTTTCTGACCTCACAATCTAACCCCCTTTGCTCATTCCTATCCATAGACTAAACTAACTGTGAGAGGAATTTATTTTATAGTTTAACTCTAAAGCAAAGATGATAACAGCCCCTTCTCAAAACTGAACTCCACCTTGTTTGGGAACTAAAAATGCCTTTGTAAAGTTAATAAAAGGCCACAAGGTAACAACTGAGATAGAGGCCTGGACTCTGCTAGGATACAGGTATAGTAAAAATCATTTGTTTTACTTATTTTCCTTTTCCTTTGTCCTATATGCATGATTGCCTGCATATAGTCAGTTCGATAGAAGGTGGTCAGTAATAATTGATTATCTCACCCCCCACATATCTTTCTGTCAAGCTGTAGGCATAAACTATAACCAGTCATTATCTCTTAGCTTGCTTTTCTGCTAAGATGTAGCTATAGTTGAATTATAACCAGTCATTGTTTCTTAATTTGCTTTTTAAAATATAGATAACATCATTGTTGTTTTTAACATAGATAACATTGTTATTGTAAAACCTGAGTGTTTGAGATTTTTTTTTTTTTTTTTTTTTTTTGAGACGGAGTTTCACTCTTGTTGCCCAGGCTGGAGTGCAATGGCACAATCTCGGCTCACTGCAACCTCTGCCTCCTGGGTTCAAGCAATTCTCCTGTCTTAGCCTCCCGAGTAGCTGGGATTACAGGCATGCACCACCACACCCGGCTAATGTTGTATTTTTAGTAGAGACGGGTTTCTCCATGTTGGTCAGGCTGGTCTCGAACTCCTGACCTCAGGTGATCTGACTGCCTTTAGCCTCCCAAAGTGCTGGGATTACAGGCATGAGCCACTGAGCCCGGCCTGAGATATTTTTCAGAACTTTCAATCTGGTAGACCAATGGATGCCAACCAGACCAGTGACCCATGGCCCCCACCCAGGAACTGACTCAGTGGGTGAAGACAGTTTCAACACCCCTATGATTTCATCCCCAACCATTCTCTAGTTCCCCTGCCTGCCAAACTATCCTTAAAAAAACCCTAGCTTCCAAATTCTGGGGGAGGCAGATTTGAGAAATAATCCCTTGTCTCCTCACTTGGCTGGCCCTGCGATTGTTAAACTCTTTCTCTGCTGCAACACCTGCAGTCTCAGTGTATTGGTTTTTTCTGGGCAGCAGGCAAGAAGAATCTGTCCAGCTGTAACAGAAATGCCTCTCTGAGCTGAGATGTGAAGAATGAAGAAGGACCACCTAGGGAAACATATTCAAGGCAGGAGAAACAGCCAGCACAAAGGCTCCAATGTGGAAATAAAGGTGGTACGTTGAAAACCAAAAGAAGGCTATTCAATTGGGTCAGAGTCAACAAGTGGGAGAACAGAAGGTCACAAAGTGGAGAAGTGCAGTGCCAGGATTTGAACCCAAGTCTATGTTACCACAGATCCCCAGCTCTCCAAAGTAGACATCTTCCAAAAAGCACCCACGACATTTGCACCCAGAAACAAGAAGCACCTTGTTATTAAGGAAGGTATGAAAGCCACTCTGGGGCTGTTTCTCCATGGCTGAAATGAATGGGTTGGAACCACATGCTCTCTGGGGCCTATTTTTTGCCCATGGAATTCCCATTCACCCTTTAAGGCTAAGCTCAAATGCCACCTCCCCCAAGGCAGCCTTCCCTGAGCCCTTACTCCAAGATCCAGCAACACATCCCACGTACCTCGACTGGCGCTTCCACTTTTCTGAGCGCTAGTTTTTTTGGCTTCCCCTGTGATGCTGGAAGCACTGCAAGCCAGGCTCTGTCTCTCCTTTCCACATCACCCACACTCAAGCTGTCCCATTTTTATTCCTCTTTCAAGGGTTCTTAGGGTAGAGAAAGACTCACTTAGGTGTTAACCTGTCTCCAAACACCTGCTAATGTGCCCTTTCCTAGTGAGGGTGTGTCCAGAGCCTGGGCTCTACACTCTGTATGCAAAGGCCCTGAAGAAAATATAGGAGGGTCAGTGAGGAAGGAGAAAGAGGTACTACAGGGTGAACCCCAGAAATACAACCTGAATTTCATTGCTACCCAAGGCCAACAGAAGTCTCCAGGAATGACTTTGGCCTCTCTCTGCAGCTGCAACTTAGCAGGGGGTAGGAAAATACCATCCTCTTCCTTCCCTCACTCTGTAGCCTTAGACAAATGACTTCACCTCTCTGAGCCTTGGCTACTCCATCTCACCAAGGGAGATAATAATGCTGCCCTCACAGGGTTTGTCTGAGGAAGATTACTGGTGATCAAAGCGCCTGGCACATACAGACACTTGATAAAGGGCAGCTGGTATTATTAATGCTTTTGTGTTGTCAAATGTCCCAGTGTTCTGCTCCCAAGCCTGTGTGGGCTCCCCAGCAGAGACAGAGAGCAGTGAAAAGAGAAACACATTTTCCAAAGGATTCTGATTCAGGAGATGGTAGGATATTAGCAATAAGGGTGGGGACTTGGAGAGAACTGAGGCCCAGACAGTGGACAGTGCCCTTATCCAAGGTCACACAGCAAGCAGAGAGCTGAAATCACCGGAGGGAGGGCCTTGACTCCCAGGGTCCACCTTTCCTTTAGGAAAGAAGAGGTGGAGGGAGTGGTGATGCTGGGCAGTGGAAAGGAGCTCCCAGGGAGCTCCCCAAAGTGGCTGAGCTACCTTGTTGCCAAGAATGGGGACATAGCCGTCGGTGATGCTCCACTTCTTGAGGTTGACAGGTCGGCGGCTACGGCCCCCCAGGGAGCCATAATGGAAGACCTCATTGGCACTGTTGGAGCTGTAGAGGATGAGGATGGTGATGAGGGCAAAGAGGATCACGAACACTGCTGACCGCTGCTCCTGGAGAGAGGAGAGGCCAGTGAGGGCCCAGCTGCCAAGCAGGCTCAGCACCCACCTCCTTGCCACCTACTGTGCCTGGTTAACTCCTGCTTTTTGTTGCAGACCAGTTCTGGCACTACTTCCTCCAGGAAGGCCTCCTTCAGCCGCCTCAGTCTCCCCATCACAACACTGATCACACTGCATTCAAACTCCCATCCCTCCAATTAGACCGTGAGCTCTGGGACTGGGCTGGCCTTGCTCCCCACTGTATCCCAGATCCCAGGGCAGGGCTTGGAAGATGGAAGGTTCTCAGGGAAGGTTTGCTGGACTGGATTGAATACGTCAGGATTCCTTACAGCTGCTGCTAAGAGGATGTCTAGAGACAGGTGGGACATCTGAGTGAGAGGGTCTAGGTCTTCCCCCAACAGTAACTCTCCAATGTACTGCCTCTAGCTCCAAGTTTATCCTTTTTGTCTGCTCTGTGGAAATGGATCTGAGCCCTTTTAATGTTTTCCCTTGTCAGTTAGCTGCATATTAAGCTTTGTGAGTAGAGGGTGCTGGACAGACACTGCAGGAGGAAAAGCATTTGCTTCTTGGTTCTGGTAGGCTTGCTAGGGAGGGTCCTTCAGTGCACACGGCCTCTCCAGTAAGGGCATCTTACCCACTGCCCAGAGGCCAGCAGTGCCAGCAAGTCAGGCACATTGCCTCTGGCTCGTGCTGTGATCACAGCTTCTCCAAAGTCCAGCTCCTACAGTGCACTCAACCACCTGCAGCACCTGCAGGCTGGCAGCTTCCCCTCCCCAGGCCAGTTCTGTACTGGAGCCATCCAGTAGGCCTCAGCTGGGCCTTCTTCAGCAAGGCCCGGATCTCAGTCTTTATGGGGGCAGGGGTGCTCCTTATATTAATATCTGCTATTGCTGTATTCCTCAGAATTCTAATCCCTTGTTACTCCAATGTCCTAGTATAGCCAATAATTTTTTGCATTCAACTTTCCTGTTTAATCACTGTGTAGTTTCTTTCTCCTGATTAGACTCAAATTAATACAACCACCCCATCCCATTTCCAAACCTCAGGCTCCACCTCAGGCTGCAGTGGATCCTAAGGAAGGGGCATGCAGGGCCAGTCATGTAGTAAGTGCTTAGGAAAGCATGAATGAATGAAAGAACAATGGGGAACCCTGACATTCTCAGGGTCATGCTCGAGCTGTATCACCTTTGATCAGTGCACCCTCACCCCATTTCCTGCTCACCTCCACCTGCCCACCCTTCTTTCCTGCACAGCACTCCACAGTCACCTCGGCTAGTCCTGACCATCACAGACAGACTGTCGGGCCTGCGAGGGCAAAACTGACCCTGGGTCCAGGAACAGGCAGGAGCTTGCCCTAAGCCACTTAGAAGATCAGTGGCCAAAGCAGGGCTTAAACCTGGGTCTCCCAGGGATGGGTGGCTTCTTGAGGGGAAGAAGAGACTCACGGTAGCTGGGGTCTGGGACAGGTCCAAAGGAACCCGTTCCATGGAGGGAAGTGAGAGGCTCAACGGGGTTAAGAAATGAAGGGAGACTTACTTTGTTGCTACTCATTTCTCTCCGGCGTCTGCTGAAGGGTAGGTGTCGGCGTCCTGTAGGTGGCCCTGGGGGCAGGGATGTGGGTTCACACCTGCAAGCCACCAGAAAGGGATATCACGGCTTCAGTGTCCTCCTTGGGGTCCAGCAAGCCAAAGGCTACACCTTCTCTGCCCCCACTAGTTCTTCTATGCACCCAGAACTTTAAGGCTCAGGACTGTATCCATTTTGCAGATGGAGACACTGAGGGCCAGAAAGGCCAGGAATCTGTCTGAGGTCATACAGCCTGGTGGCAGCAGAGCCCTGCCCATTCTCTCCCTTGAAGAGGGGCCTTCCCACACCAAGGCAGCTGGCAGGGCCAAAGCTGGCTCCCCTGCTGGAGGACCTGACCTCCACGTGGGCAGCAGGATCCCCATTCACACCCTGCTCTAAATTCTGCCTTGGGCCCCTGTGGCGTCAGAATAAAACAATACCTCTCGTAGGCCCCCAAACTCCTCTGCTCTGACTGCCTCTCAGGTTGGCCTGGAACGCCCTCCCTCCTACGGCCTTCTGACTCCCACTCATCCTCCAAGCCTGGCATGGACCAGGAACTCCCCTAGGTCCTCCCGTCCCCCCAGGCTAACAGCTGCCTGCGGGGTACAGCCCACCCAGGTCCTCACTCAGTTTCCCCTGTGCCTCCACAGCCACGAATATGCAGGAATACTACTGAATGAACTAATGCATTAACAAGTAGGATCTCTCGGGGGCTAAGGGCACAGACTCAAGTCTGAGAGGCTCGGTTCGAGTCCAGGTTCGGCAGTCTCTGCCAGGGCTGACTCATCTGTCAAATGGCTGTGATCACAGTCTCAGGGGGTGGCTGGGGGGCCTCTGGAAGACCTGGCAGTGAGGAGGCCGGCCCAGTTCTGCTCCGCACACCCCAATCGCTCCCTCTCCCACCACCCAAAACTCAGCTCCTTTCCAGACTTCCACTTCCCCACCTGTGAAAGGGAAAATGTACTGTGTCCAGCCTACCTCCAGCAGACAGGCCAGGGGGCAGGGCGGGCAGGAGTGCAGAGGGAGGAAACTGGGGCTTAGGGGACCCTCCTCAGTTCCATCCCCTCCTCCAGGGGCCTCTCAGTTTCTGTCACTCTCTTAGCCCTTTGACCTAGCCGCTGTTTACTCCTACACGGCCACCAGGAAGAGCCAGAGAACCTCGTGCCAGAGGAGGCTTGGCACACACACCTCCCTCCTGAATGGTTAGATCCTGGCCCCGCCCCCTCCCCAACCCCGCCCCCTCTCCATGGGCGCCCCCCTCATCCCAAGTTCGGTTTCAGGTTTCTCCAGTGCCGGCCCTTCACAGCCAGTCAGGGAGACCCGGACTCCCATCTAGTCCAGACCCCGCGGTACACAGCAGAAAATGGGGCCTCATCAGAAGCGAGGAGACGCTTATTCTTGTCCTCACAGACCATTAGAGCAAAAGACAGGAGTCCAGAATCCTGGGGTGGCCCCATCAGCCCTGAGACCTCGGCATTCAAGGCGCCCAGGGGTCCAGCCGCCTCTATCTTATTACGCGTGGCCACCCTTTCCTGCGGATGCCCTCTGCCCGCCCCCTACTTTCCCACCTTTGCCCGAGCTGTGCCCTCAGCCAGGACCAGCGTCCCCCTGGTCCGCCCCGTCACAATCCTGCTCTGAGAAGGCCATGGTCAGTACAGCATGTCAGGTGCCCGTGCGAATTCCGGTTTCACCACTTACTGGCTGGGGGGCCTCGAGCAAGCCATGTGACCTCTCTGAGCCTCAGTTTCCTCATCTGTGAAATGGGAACAATAAGAGTCGGTAACTCAGGGGGTTGTTGGAAGGATTCAAGCAGATGTGGCAAGGGACACGCGGGGCTTGAAAGTGCTCCCACATTGGCCGGGCATGGTGGCTCACGCCTGTAATCCCAGCACTTTGGGAGGCCGAGGTGGGCAGATCACCAGGTGAAGAGATCGAGACCATCCTGGGCAACATGGTGAAACCCCATCTCTACCAAAAATACAAAAATGAGCCGGGCATGGTGGCGGGTGCCTGTAGCCCCAGCTACTCCGGAGGCTGAGGCAGGAGAACCGCTTGAACCCGGGAGGCGGAGGTTGCAGTGAACCGAGATGGTGCCACTGCACTCCAGCCTGGCGACAGAGCAAGACTCTGTCTCAAAAACAAAAACAAAAAAAAAATAAAATAACATAAAATAAAGAAAGAAAAGAAAGTGCTCCCACAATGCCAACAGCTGTTAGTCTTGCGGTTAATCACTGTTCAAGTCCCGCCTCTCCAGTGTGTCAGTGAAACACTCCTCCCCTGACCCCAGTGCGGCGACTTTCCCGGAATATCAAGGAATATGTGTGGGAATACGTTCTAAGCATCACCCACGCGCTGAATCAAGGCAATGCATGGTAGGAGCCCTTGTTGCCCATTTCACAGATAAGGAGACTGAGGTTCAGAGAGGCAAAGCGCCTTGCGGGGCCGCGCAGAGCCGGCTTGAGAGCCTTGTTTACAGGCTCGTTTACAGGGAGCAGCCCAGGGCTGAGCCTGACTTCGTCTCCCTGGAGGATCCCCCTCGGCTGGAACGGGTCAGAGGCCATGGAGTGTGTGCTCAGGACGTGCCTCGGCACCGGCACCGGGCACCGGTGCGGGGGTCTGGGGGCCTGTTGAGGAGCGGCTTGCTCAGGCTGGGGAGGCGGCAGCCTCGATCGCTGGCCCAGGAGCATAGACTCAGCCCAAGGCTGGACGTGCAGGCGAGCTGAGCAGGAGCCGAGGGTGGGGGCCACACCCTGCCCTCTGTTTGGGGGTTTTCCTTCTTCCAGCCCCGGGAGTCCTCCTGCAGATCGGGACGCCCCCACGAACCCGCGAGGGAGGAGGGCTCCAGGGAGAAGGGGGAGGGGGGCTCCTAATTCCGAGACGATGGGGGACGCCGAACCCATGGGTCCACCTGGTGGGGGGCTCACCCAGCGCGCCCCTCGCGCCAACCCCCTCCCCAACTCCTGCACTCCGGGGGTCCGGAGCCCTAACCCCAGCTGGGAAGAAAAGAGAGGCAGGACCGCTGACGGGGTAGTCGGTGGCAAGAGGCCCAGCGGACCCCGCGACAGCCCCTGGGCGCGAGGACCGGGACCTCGGGGCGCAGCTACCAAGGGGGAAGGGGTCTGGGGTGCCGCCGGGGGCCCCGCAGCCATCCCTATCCCCGGCGATTATCGATCTCCTCTCCGGGCGCCCTCCGCCCCAGCCCCCGCCCCCGCCCCCACGACCAGCTCCCGTTTGGCGCCTGCTCACCTCCGGCGGGGAGCGCCCGGCCCCCCGCGGCCCCCGAACCCCCTCACATGGCGCCGGGAGCCGAGCGCCGGGGTCCGCGCTCCTCAGGCCGCCCAGGCCCCGCCGCACCCGCGGCCCGCCGGGTCCTAGCGCCGCCGTCACGGCCCGGCCCGGGCCTGGGAGGTGGGCGGAGCCTCGGGGCCGCGGGTGGCTCCGCCCACGGGCGACGCCGGCTGGGGAGGGAAAAGGGAGGCGAACCCGGGAGCCGCCCCCGCGTGAGCGCTTCGGTCATCCAGCTGGGCAGCCCGGGGTGACCACCAAAATACAACAGCCTTTCGGCTCCCTGTAGTGTGGAGCAGGCCCACTTCTAGCTCCTTATTGCCACCATGACCCCGGATGGGGAAACTGAGTTCCGGAGCACGGTGTGCTTGGACTCAGTGGAGTTTATCCCTGGGCTCCCCACCAAGGGCCTTCAGCTCCCTGCCTTGCACCCTGGGCAAGTAGTCACCTGGGCAAACTCAGGGTTCACCCTCAGATTCAAGTTCCGCTCTGCCATTCGCCAGCTGCGCGGCCTTAGCGCATAACTTTCCTTCTCCCTGCCTCTGGAAAATAGGGAGAAGGACAACTTCACACAGCTGGAAAAACTTAAAATGTTCCTTCTTATAATTACCAGGACATCCATGACATTACTCTACGTGATAGGGAAAAATAACTTAAGTAGCTATTGCTAGGGGACTGCTTAAGTTAAGGCACAGCCTGCCGAAGTGCACGAGGAGGCTGTTAAAATGAAGGATGCGGGCCAGGAGCGGTGGCTCACGCCTGTAATCTCAGCACTTTGGGAAGTCGAGGCAGGTGCATCACCTGAGGTCAGGAGTTTCAGACCAGCCTGGCCAACATGGAGAAACCCCGTCTCTACTAAAGATACAAAATTAGCCTGGCGTGGTGGAGCACGCCTGTAACCCCAGCTACTCCGGAGGCTGAGGCAGGAGAATCGCTTGAACCTGGAAGGCAGAGGTTGTGGTAGGCTGAGATCGCGCCATTGCACTTCAGCCTGGGCAACAAAAGCGAAACTCTGTCTCAAAACAAAAAAAACAAAAAAACAAAACAAAACCAAAAGGAAGGGTGCAGGTCAGTATGCCTTGGCAGGAAAGCATGGCCGGGATATTTACAGGATATTTACGTGAAGAAAGCAAGTTAAAGAACTGCCAGACAGGCCCAGTGGCTGTAATCCCAGCACTTTGGGAGGCTGAGGCGGGTGGATCACCCGAGGTCACGAGTTAGAGACCAGCCTGGCCCACATGATGAAACCACCACCACCCCCTTCCCCCGCCACCCCAGCCTCCCGTCTCTATTAAGAATACACAAATTAGCGAGGCGTTGTGGCGGGCCCTTGTAATCCCAGCTACCCCAGAGGCTGAGGCAGGAGAATCGCTTGAACCCAGGAGGCAGAGATTGCAGTGAGCCGAGATCATGCCATTGCACTCCAACCTCCAGCCTGAGCAACAAGAGCTAAACTCCCTCTCAAAAAAAAAAAGAAAGAAAGAAAAAAGAACTGTCTTGGAAACAAAGTCCTAAACATTTGCATTCCACAGCTGAGTAAACATGCCCTGGAGAAATTCTTGCAGATGTGCCCAAGGAGGTTCATAGCAGCATCGCTTGAAATAATACAAAACAGGGAAAAACCCCAAATATCCATCAACAAGAGAATGGAATTGTTTTACACAATGGAAGGTTCACACTGTGGAATAATACATAACAGGGTAAAATGAATGATCTACAATTACATGGATGAATCTTAGAGACACAAGGAGTGAAAAAGAGGTCTGGGAAGATGAGTAAAAACTACACAATAGAGGCTGGGCACGGTAGCTCACGCCTGTAATCTCAGCAGTTGGGGAGGCGCAGGCGGGCAGATCACTTGAACTCAGGAGTTTGAGACCAGCCTGGCCAACATGGTGAACCCCTGTCTCTATTAAAAATACAAATAAATTAGCCGGGTGTGGTGACACATGCCTACTTGGAACATGCTACTTAATCCCAGCTACTTGGAAGGCTGAGGCAGGAGAATCGCTTGAACCTGGCAGGCGGGAGGCAGAGGTTGCATTGACCGAGATCGCGCCACTGCACTCCAGCCTGGGCAACAGAGCGAGATTCCATCTCAAAAAAAGTAAAAAAATAAATAAATAAAAGCAAAGTCAAGAACAATGGGGGAAGAATCAAAGAGGTATGCAAGTTAAAACAGTGGTCTTTAAGTGGGGACTGAGGTCAACAGGTTCATGATATTTTTATGCCTTATAACTTTCAAATATGACACCGTATCACAATATTTTAAAAGATGAAAAAATAAGGAAATGCCTTTTGCCTATCACAGTGATTAGTGTTTTTGGTTTTTTGCTTGTTTTTCATTGAGATGAAGTCTCTCTCTGTCACCCAGGCTGGAGTGCAATGGCTCAATCTCGGCTCACTGCAAGCTCCACCTCCTGGGTTCAAGCGATTCTCCTGCCTCAGCCTGCCGAGTAGCTGGGACTACAGGGGCGGGCCACCACACCCAGCTAATTTTTTGTATTTTTAGTAGAGATGGGGTTTCGCCACATTGGCCAAGCTGGTCTCGAACTCTTGACCTCAGGTGATCCGCCTGCCTCAGCCTTCCAAAGTGCTGGGATTACAGGTGTGAGCCACCGCACCCGGCCAGTGATTAGGGTTAATAGTGGTTATTTCTGGAATGATGGGATCTGGGGCTGCTTTTTTTGTTTTGGATTAACTGTATTTTTCCAAAAATTTTAAGATAATGGTCACATTATTATTATTATTATTATTATTATTATTATTATTTTGAGACAGAGTTTCACTCTTTTTGCCCAGGCTGGAGTATAATGGTGTGATCTCGGCTCACTGAAACCTCTGCCTCCCAGTTCAAGTGATTCTCCTGCTTCAGCCTTCTGAGTAGCTGGGACTACAGGTGTGTGCCACCACAGTTGGCTAATTTTGTATTTTTAGTAGACATCACCACGGCCGGCTAATTTTGTATTTTTAGTACAGATGGGGTTTCACCATGTTGGTCAGGCTGGTCTCAAACTCCTGACCTCAAATGATCCATCCGCCTTGGCCTCCCAAAATGTTGGGATTACAGGCATGAGCCACCACACCCAGTCCACACAATATTTTTATATTTTTAAAAATGTATTTTTTGGCCGGGCGTGGTGGCTCTAGCCTGTAATCTCAGCACTTTGGGAGGCTGAGATGGGCAGATCACGAGGTCAGGAGATCGAGACCATCCTGACTAACACGGTGAAACCCCGTCTCTACTAAAAAATACAAAAAACTAGCCGGGCGAGGTGGCGGGCACCTGTAGTCCCAGCTACTTGGGAGGCTGAGGCAGGAGAATGGCGTAAACCCGGGAGGCGGAGCTTGCAGTGAGCTGAGATCCGGCCACTGCACTCCAGCCTGGGTGACAGAGCGAGACTCCCTCTCAAAAAATATATATATATTTTTTTTTAATTTCTAAAAGCAAACTGCAATATATAGCATGTTTTTTTTTGCTTGCTTTTTTTTTTTTTTTTTTTTTTTTGAGACAGTCTTGCTCTGTCACCCAGGCTGAAGTGCAGTGGCGCTATCTCGGCTTCCTGTAAGCTCCGCCTCCCGGGTTCATGCCATTCTCCTGCCTCAGCCTCCTGAGTAGCTGGGACTACAGCCGCGTACTACCAAGCCCGGCTAATTTTTTGTATTTTTAGTAGAGACGGGGTTTCACCGTGTTAGCCAGGATGGTCTTGATCTCCTGACCTCGTGATCCGCCTGCCTCGGCCTCCCAAAGTGCTGGGATTACAGGCGTGAGCCACCATGCCCGGCCTTTGCTTGCTTTTTAAAATTATACAACTACGTATAGTATTTGTAAATGCACACAGAAGGTGTCTGGAAGGGCCCACTAGGACTCCACCTGCAGTTGATTCCCTGTTGAAGTGAAGGTGGGTCAGGACGGTTGGGAGCTGCCTTCACTTTTCCCTTTATAAACTTGTAGGTTGTTTGCGTTGTACTTATATGGGAAGCCTTAATAACACTTTGTTTCCAATTAAAACAAAAGTCAGCAGTCCGCCAGGGGACAGCCTTTAGGCAGTACAGGCACTGCCCACCAGGCAGGGAGGGGGTGGCCCGCAAGGGTGGGTTTGAGGCTTCCTGTCCCTGGTGCCCACCTCCATCTGCTTCCTGAGCCTCAAACCAAGCCCTACCCATGGCCCTCCTAGGTCGCTGACCCCGCCCTACAAGCGACAGGATGGAAAACCACGGAGTGGGGGCAGGGCGATCAGGCAGGAGGCCTGATGAACTCGACTTCTGAGGACTCAGAGGAACACCTCTAGCCCAAGGCCACCCAGGGGGTTGGGGGCTGAACCAGGGAAGGAAACATCCTGTCCCCAGCCCTTCTCACTAACCCAGGCCAGTGACCCAAATCAAACACCCAGAAGTGAGAGGGTGCTTCGGCCCTGCTCCTGGACGGCATCTGGACGTGGAGCTGCCCGTCCGGCCTGCCATGTCTCTGGGCCGAGGCTCGCTCCAGCAGGATTTGCTTCAGGCCTGGCTTCCCTTCTTGAGCCTCAAGAACGACAGCAACCATCTCAATAATAGTAATAACAAGGATGAGAAGCAGAACGGCTTACTCTGTGCCAGGCACTTTGCAAACACACCTCATTGAATCCTTAAGGTGGCCTATGAGTTGGGTATTGAGGTTAACCCACTTTCCAGAGGGAGAAACTGAGGTTCAGAGAACACGCAGGTGGCAGGGCTGTTTCCACTAGGCCTGCCTGTTTAATAACCGCAGACATGTTCTACACGGAAGCCTTGGGCCTGTGAGAGCCAGGCCAGGCCACACCAGGACGTTCCTGCATGGTGGCTGTGGCCAGTCCTCGTGGGCCTCCCGCGCAGCCGTTCCCCCACGGTCTGACCCTTCCTGCCCCAGGGGTAGGAGAGGCCCGTGTACCCCCCTGCTTCCTGACCCTTAGCAAACTTCTTTGAGCTGTTAGGATTTTTCCCTTCCATGGTATTCTGGAAAGAGCCCTAAGAGCCCCCCTCACCTGCCCCAGCTCCCAATTCAAAGAAACCAAGATCAAAGGCCAGAGAGAGAACAGAACTTGCCCAAGACTCCGCAGCGGGTCCTGGGCAGAGCCAGGCTACGAGCCAGACCTGAGGACTCTGGCCTGTCTCCCTCTGGGCTTTTGGCTAGGGGAGGGGCTTCTGGAGAGGCGAGGCCTGTGAGAGTGGCAGGCAGGTGGGGGCCTGCACACAGGGCCTGCTCCATAGCCTAGGACCTGGGCTTCCGGCCAGAGGGTCTGGAACAAGGAAGTACTGCCTCTTCCCCCACAGAGGCTGGAGAGGGCAGACAGGCCTAGATGGGCCTAGACGCTAGGGCCCACCAGTCCCCCAAAGCCAGATGCTCCTGTCCTCACCTGGGTGTGTGAGGTTTTTCGTTTCATTTTTTCCTTACAAGATGAAGGTGTGTGAACTGTGAGCTGAGCTCTGGGCCTGGCCCCATGGCCCTTCTAAGGAAAAGGCCCCTTAGGATGCCTCCGGGCTGTAAGGCTTACCTGGCTTCCTCTCTGGGTTTGGAGGAAGTAGCGTAGGTCCCTAGCCAGTCTGCAGAGGGGCAAAGGAACCAGGGTATGAACAGGAAGGACAACGGAGGCCCAAAGTGTGGCTGCAGACCCACGTGATCCCGGGGGCTGTGGGGAGGCTCCTGCCCTGGGCTCACCTCAAGGCAGCTGCAGGAACCGCTGTGGCAAAAGCAGAGTCTTCGGTTTCCTGGTCAAGACAGCTTTCAGCAGACCCCGAGCCAGCCACCAGACCTGTCAAGGATCATCTCCGTCTGCCTGGAGGAAGTGACTGACGCATCACTCCTGCCAGGTCACCACCCCTAGAAAGACACAGGATCTGGGCCAACCCAGCAGTAAATACCCCACCCAAGGGCAGAGCCACGTTAGAGGAGACTGTGTGTCCTGGGCCCAAGGGCTGGGTCAGCCTCTTCCCAGGGGATGGAGGAGGAAGAGAAGGGAGCCTCCCAGGAGTGAGTGGAATTCAAATCCCATCAGAACCAGCGGACCCTGGACCTTGGACACCCAGGAAGAGGCAGGGAGTAGGGAGACAACCTATGGGGCAGGGGCATCCTGCCATCTGTCACCACGAAGGAAGGGCAGGGCCAGCCGAGGCAGACGAACCCCACGAAAAATGCTGGCTCCACATGTCAAGTGCCTGCTATATCATAAGCCACAGGGACAGTCCAATGTCTGAATCTGTGAGGTGGGGACTATTTTAACCTTTTACAGATGACAAAACAGGCCCAGAGAGGGGCACTAATCTGCCAGGACCCCAACAGCAGAAAGTGGGGCCAGAAAGAAGTCAGGCCTTGACTCCAGGGCCCCCACCCCAAGCCTGGAAACCCCCTCCACCTCTGCCTACCAGGCTCCATCCCTCCCTTACCTCTGCCTGACACCTGTTCAGAGCCCCTCGCTCTGTGCTGTGGCTCCGCTGCCAGCCTGCTCCCTGCTTCGCCAGCTCAGGGCTCTCCTCCCCCCTCCCATTCCTGCAGAAACTTCTGGGTCCATCTGGCACTGGGCAGGGGGAGGCAGGGCACAAAAGCAGTGGTGTGAACCAAGCACCAGGTCTCAGGCCCCTCTGTGAAAGCCAAGGATGGGAGGGAGAGTGTGCCGGGTCACCCAGACCCCCCGGGACTACTGGCTACATAATTTCTGGGATCCAGTGCAAAATGAAAATGCAAGTCCTCTTGCCAAAAAAAAAAAAAAAAAAAAAAAAAAGTAAAACCTAAGAATTTCAAGTTGGCAACAGCAGAGCATTAGCAGAGGGCCCTGACCCCTGGAACTGGCAGCTAGAACCCCAGGGCTGCATCCCAGCTGACAGCCCGAGGCCCTGGCCCAGTCCTCTGAGTCTTCCAGTCCCCAGATGAAGTAGTGATGCCTGGGAGGGGTGATGCTTGGGGGCTCTCTCCAGCCCAAGGGTGCAGGGCTGAGGTCCTCACTTTATTTTGCACCCTGGCCCAGCCGCTCCACAGTCATCCGGCTTCAGCTGAGTGGCCTCAGCTCATCTGTAAATCCGGCTAGCACCGGCCCTCCTCTGAGGATGGCAAGCTTCTGCTGGTGGGTCTTTCCTCCTCACTTTATTTTATTTATTTATTTATTTATTTTTTGAGACGGAGTCTCGCTCAGTCGCCCAGGCTGGAGTACAGTGGCCAGATCTCAGCTCACTGCAAGCTCTGCCTCCCGGGTTCCCGCCATTCTCCTGCCTCAGCCTCCTGAGTAGCTGGGACTACAGGCGCCCGCCACCTCGCCCGGCTATATTTTTGTATCTTTTAGTAGAGACAGGGTTTCACCGTGTTAGCCAGGATGGTCTCGATCTCCTGACCTCGTGATCCGCCCGTCTCGGCCTCCCAAAGTGCTGGGATTACAGGCTTGAGCCACCGCGCCCGGCCCTTCTCCTCACTTTATAGGTGAGGAAAATAAGGCCTGAGCCAGGCTAGACTCCCTCACAGCACCCACCCAGGGCTGCCCTCTGCCTTCCTGCTTTGCAGGGAGACTAAACCCACTTTCTTTCTTTTCTTTTTTTTTGAGATGGAGTCTCACTCTGTCGCTCAGGCTGGAGTGCAGTGGCTCACAGCAACTTTCGCTCCTGCCTCAGCCTCCAGAGTCGCTGGGATTACAGGCACCCGCCACCACATCCTGCTAATCTTTCATATTTTTAGTAGAGACAGGATTTCACCATGTTGGCCACGCTGGTGTCAAACTTCTGATCTCAAGTGATCTATGATCTGCCCACCTCGGCCTCCCAAAGTGCTAGGATTACAGGCGTGAGCCACTGTGCCTGGCCCACTTTTTTTTTTTTTTTGGTAGAGACTGGTTTTGTCATGTTGCCCAGGCTGGTCTCAAATTCCTGGTCTCAAGCAATACTCCCGCCTTAGCCCCTACTGTGCCAGGCCCAACCCCAGATTTAACAGCTAATTTAACTTGCCATTTGACCTAGAACCAGGGAAGCAATATGGGTGGAGGACTTTCCCTCCCACTCAGAGTCCTTCCTCCTGGCCCTGGCTCTTTTCTCACTGGGTACAGAACGGGGTTCCCAAAGAAGTCTCTGGCTTGGGGTCAGTTTCCTGGGCCAGAGCAGTGAAGGAACCAGCCCCCCGGAGCAGCCCTGACCTACTGGGGAAGGGGTTGGGCTGGGGCCACCAGCAGGAGGTTGCTGGGGAAGAAACTGAAGCCCAGCCAATGTGGGCCCGGGTAGGGGCCTCAGGGATTCCAGTCAACAGCTTCTGGGACAGCTGGGCTCGGTGGATCACCGCTGCAATCCCAGCACTTTGGGAGGCCGAGGCGGGTGGATCACCTGAGGTCAGGAGTTCGAGACCGGCCTGGCCAACATGATGAAACCCCATCTCTACTAAAAATACAAAAAATGAGCTGGGCGTGGTGGCGGGCACCTGTAATACCAGCTACTTGGGAAGCTGAGGCAGGAGAATTGCTTGAACCCGGGAGGTGGAGGTTGCAGTGAGCCGAGATCGTGCCACGGCACTCCAGCCTGGGCAACAAGAGCAAAACTCTGTCTCAAAAAAAAAAAGCTTCTGAGATTGTGACAGGGAAAGAAGCTCTAGTCTCCACATTAGACACATGACCACGCTAGAGACAGTGTCCAGAAAACACACGTTTACCCGTACGTTCCTGATACGGCCCCGGCAGTCACAACTCCAAGGCCCCTTCACCCAACGAACCCCAGGCTCCTGGCTGCCCCAACCAGGGCGGCCGGCCTGAGAAGTGTGGCACCAAAAGGTAGTAGGGGTGGCTGGGGAGGAAGGACCAGGACTGGCACAAGGTCATGATGATGCTGGTGAGTAGGGGGCCATCAGCCCGAGGGACAAAGGCCACTTGACAGACCTGGAGGTGGGGTGAGCCCCCAAATGCCATGAATTACTCAGGGAGTAGAGGTGGAGACAGGGCTCCTCATTCCACTCCCCTTCAAGTCATGAGGCCTGAGATGGCTCCAAGTGTCGCCAGAGTGGGGCACTCCACCCAGCACGTGGCAGGAGGCAGGATCCATAAATTAAATGTTTTTGTGGAGTGTGATGGCCTGGGACGGGACATCCCAGAGGCCTCCCAACAGCATGGCGGCTGGCAGGGCGACGGAGGCTACTCAGTCCTCCAGGACGGATGGGCGAACACGATGGGCCTCTTCTTGGCCCAGCGGGAGAAGACTGCCTTCTCAGTGATGAAGCGGTGGGCGCTTCGGGGCGCCTGCTCGTGTGCCAGGTACATCTGACATTCATCCAGTCGGCCCTTCTCGAAGTAGTGGTAAGGCACTGAGGGGTGGCTCTTCTCCCTGTGGGGTGGGGAACAGGGCTGGTGTGCGACAGAACTCACTCACCTCCTGCCACCCCTTGCTGCCTACCTTGACCACCCCTCGCCAGGCCCATGGGCTCATGGAGACCCATGCCTGATCCCTGGGAAGGCCAAGACACATAGGTGAGTAGCAAATCCCAAAGGCCAGGTCTCAAGTCCTGGCTCTGCCTCTTGCTAGCTGGATGACTCTGGGCCAGAGATGGACCCTTTGAGCCTCAATATCCCATGTGTAAAATGCAGATGGTCACATCCACCTTCTAGAACGAGTGCATAGATCAAGAGATGGAGACTGCAAGCACCCTGCTAGTGGTGCTGGGCTCCTGGTGAGGGAGGAGCTCTCATTCTCATGTCACAGAGCCACCAGCCCTGCACGCCCACCTCCCCATCAGCATCACAGGGGCCAGCCGTGTGGCCAGGGCCATGGCTGGGGCACAGGGACACCTGTCACCTGGGTGACCTGTTCTGAACTCGTTAGTTTCCATGATATTGAAATATAATAATATAGGCCAGGTGCGGTGGCTCACACCTGTAATCCCTGATCCCTGGGGAGGCCAAGGTGGGTGGATCACCTGAGGTCAGGAGTTCGAGATCAGCCTGGCCAACATGATGAAACCCCGTTTCTACTAAAAATACAAAAAATTAGCTGGGCATGGTAGCACGCGCCTGTAATCCCAGCTACTAGGGAGACTGAGGTAGGAGAATTGCTTGAACCCGGGAGGCAGAGGTTGCAGTGAGCCGAGATTGCACCACTGCACTCCAGCCCCAGCCTGGGCAACAAGAGCAAAACTCCGTCTCAAAAAAAAAGAAAGAAAGAAAGAAAAGAAATATAATAATATAACGATGGTACAAAATCATACCATAAACATATCTGAACTTGATGTCATGCTGGTATATAATACCAAATAGTATATAATATCAAAAATCATATATAATATCAAAAATTAAAACATATAAGATATATCACATATATATATGTGTGTGTGTGTATATATATCTATTTAGGCCCTATATATATAGGCCCTGACTGTGGTAAGCACTTTTGTGGATTATTCCTCCCCTAAATGTTTCAACAACCTTCCAAGGAAGATGTGGTTCTTTTCTCTATTTTCCACATAAGGAAACAGAGGGTCTGCAGGGTGGCATGACTGGCCCGTGACCAGCCTGTGGCCACAATGAGCAGCACTGGGGTTGCTGCTAAGGCAGCCTGTTTGACACTGAACTCTTTCCCAAGGCCCAGAGCCCAAGGGGTATCTGTGCTATGGTCACCCACCATGAAACCCACACACTCTTTGCCCCCACACCTCCCAAATCCTCTGGCTTAAGGCCTGGGAGGGCTCACAGTGCTCCCGGTGTCCCCGTGTGCCCGGCCCGGCCGGTCTGACCTGCAGTAGCTGTCGCTGACCATCCCATAGACCACGATCTCCTCACACAGCTCCAGCGCGAGGATCATGGTGAACCAGCCGGTGCTGAGGAAGGAGCCCGACTGCCTCCTGGGGGTGGATGGGGGGGACGGGGGGACACTGTCAACATGGGGCCTCGTGGTGGCTCCAGGCCCCAGTGGCACTTGGTATTTTCCCAGTCCAGGGCTACGCACCTCAACCTCTTGTGGGGGACCCTGGGGGAGGCTGGGGAAGGGGCAGAGCCAGCCCAAGGCCAGCAGTGGGTGACAGGCAGAACGGCACACAAACCCAGGCCTGATCACCTCCTCAGCACCCAGTGGGACTTGGGCCCAGCTATGCTTTGCAGGGTTTGAGTAAACCCTTGGATGATGGGTGTGGGGGCTCTGGCCATGTCCTCTCCTCATCTAAGGGACCAGGCCTGGGGAGACAGCAGGAAGCAGCAGGGCACCGTGGTTTGAAGTCGGGCGGGGTTGTCTAGAGTCCAAGGATCTTCCACTTGAACCCTGGCTCTGCTATGGGCATCACATTTGCTCGTGAACCTCTCTGAGCCTCATGACTGGTCTGTGAAGTGGAGATAATTCTAGGGGTTATAGGGAGGGAACACTGTCAGCCCAGACCCTGCCCCATGCCCCCATGCTCCACTTGGAGTCAGGGGCTAGGTGGTGGCTCCAGCCTCAGCTCTCTGGAGGCAGCAGCCCTGGGTACCCTCCCAGCCAAGGGCCACCGCCCTCGACCTCTACAGGGCAGGTATGAACTGGTTCATTCATTCAAACTGAGCCCCACCCAGGCCCTGTGCTGGCCCTGAACCTGCCTCATCTGGTGCTAACATTCCCAAGGGAAGGAGACAAACAGATAAACAAGTAGCTAGGAGACAAATCTATAAGCAAGATGATGGCAGAGGGTGACACCTGCTGCCAAGACAAGGAAACAAAGGAATGGATAAAGAATGCCAGGGCAGCTGGGCGCGGTGGCTCACGCCTGCAATCCCAGCACTTTGGGAGGCCGAGGCGGGCGGATCACAAGATCAGGAGATCGAGACCATCCTGGCTAACACAGTGAAACCCCGTCTCTACTAAAAATACAAAAAATTAGCCGGGCGCAGTGGCAGGTGCCTGTAGTCCCAGCTACTCAGGAGGCTGAAGCAGGAGAATGGCGTGAACCCGGGGGGCGGAGTTGCAGTGAGCCAAGATCGCGCCACTGCACTCCAGCCTGGGCGACAGAGCGAGACTCCGTCTCAAAAAAAAAAAAAAAAAGAATGCCAGGGTGGGAGGCACCCCTTCAGATGGGGTGGTAAGAGCGGGCTTCCCTGAGGAGGTGACCTGAGTAGCAAGAGGAGCCTATCATGGGAAGATCTGGGAGAACATTCCAGGGAGAGGGAACGGCAGGTGCAAAGGACTACAGGTAGAAATAGGCATGGATGTCTGAGCCCCAGATAGCCAGTATGGGTAGAACAGGGAGAGTGAAGGAGACACAAGGTCACAGAGGCAGGCAGGGGCAGGATCACACAGGGCAGGCAGGCCAGGAGTGGTGGGGGTGGGAAGCCTGCAGCTTAGGTCAAGGTGGCAGCCATGGGCCATTGTATGTGGCAGATGATGGTACAAGGGGAGTCAGAGGCACAGCCCAGTTTTCTGGTGGATACACCAGAGGCTGACTGTTCTGTCTCCTGAGCACAGAGGCCGGTGGAGGAGCAGGCGTGTGGAGGAGGGACTGGCAAGAGTCATGAGTGCGCTTTTGGGTATGACATAAAATGAAACCTTGAATGCGGAGTGCTTCACCCAGTGCCTGGTGAGCAAAGAGGGCTGTTATTGCTCTGTGTTGTTTTGCTTTTTGCGACAGAGTCTCACTCTGTCACCCAGGCTGGAGTGCAGTGGTGTGATCTTGGCTCACTGCAACCTCTGCCTTCAGGTTCAAACAATTCTCCTGCCTCAGCTACTCTCCTGAGTAGCTAGAATTACAGGCATGCACCATCATACCTGGCTAATTTTTATATTTTTAGTAGAGACGGGGTTTCACCATGTTGGCCAGGGTGGTCTTGATCTCTTGACTTTGTGATCCTCCCACCTGGGTCTCCCAAAGTGCTGGGATTACAGGCGTGAGCCACTGCGCCTGGCCCTAATTTTTATATTTTTAGTAGAGACGGGGTTTCACCATGTCGGCCAGGCCGGCCTCAAACTCCTGACCTCAAGTGATCCTCCCGCCTTGGCCTCCCAAAATGCCGGGATTACAGGCGAAAGCCACCGCACCCGGCCTCTAACTTTTATTATCCAGAAGGGATATCAGAGACCAAGTTAGACAGACCATTCCCTCCAGAGAGAAGCGCTCCCTCATGCCCCTCCACACACTGCCCAGTGCTTCCCGTCGGGTGCTCAAAAGGCCTAATAGCTCTCACCACCATTTGGGATTCTAGATCTGTGTGACAGTTTCCTGAGTGACATCCCCTTTTCCTCCTGCCCCCCATTAGAGGGCAGGACCATGTCTGCCTCCTTGAGTGCTGACCTCCCGGGCCTGACAGAGCAGATCCCTGATGGACAAGAGACTCGCAGAGAATGAAGGTCCCCAGCTGCCAGGGAGACCCCAGCAGGCAGGCCCCAGGCTCACCGGTTCTTGCCCGTCTCGTCTTGGAAGATTTGGTCGCAGTAGGCCATCATGCGCTCAGTGAAGGTGTACACCTGCAGGCCGGGGTACATCCTGGTGAGCTGCAGCAGCGTGCGGTAGGTGCGGCCGCCGAGCACCCGGTCCATGTGCCTGCCCTGGCCCCATACCACGTAGAGCGTGTCTCGGGCCTTCTGGAAGTAGTGTGAGTAGTTGCGCAGCAGCAGCGGCACGCTTGTGTGTGAGATGACACGCAGGGTACTGCGCTGGCCCACGTCCGCCTCAAAGCCCACGGTGGGCGCCTGGTTCATGCGGAACACGCACTCGGCACCGTCGATCTCAGCACCCAGGCCTGAGCCCAGCATCTGGCCGGAGCTGGACACCACAGCACAGCTGCGGCAGGGCTCGCGGACCAGCGGCTGCAGGGCAGGCAGGGAGAAAGAGACAGAGAGGCATGAGCGTGCAGCTTACACCCCCTGCGCCTTCCCCAGGTATATCCACCAACCTCACTTGATCAGGTATCGGCTCGAAGGACTGTTATTGACCCATTTTACAGGCTGGGCAGCAGGGATGACTTTCCCAGATCACAGTGATATCCAGTGTCAGAGCTAAGGTTCTGCACTCAGCCCCCCCACTTCCTCATCAGCCATATTTGTGATCCTCATTCCTGTCGCTGCCTCTGAGGCCCTAACTGTCTCTACATAATAAGTTCTTATGAGGTTTGCTTGAGCAAATATTTATAAAACACTTAGAACAGTGGCTGGCACAGACTGGAGGTCATATCAGTATTTGTGAAGTAAACATGAACCTCAGTTCTTCAGAATCATTCTTAGGCCACACCCTCCCCTGAGCATGCCTCACCCACACTGTGCCCAGTTTCTAAGTAAAAGCAGGGTCGTCAATGCCCAGGACAACTGTGGGACTCCCTGGTCCTGAGCCTGAATCCTGGCTCTGCCCCCTCCTAGCTATGTGGTCTGAGGCCAAGTCACTGGCCTCTGTGAGCCTCAAGTCTCTCATCTGTAAAATGGGAAAGAAAACATCTGGGCCAGGAGTGGTGGCTCACACCTGTAATCCCAGCACTTTGGAAGGCCGAGGTGGGTGGATCACCTGAGGTCAGGAGTTCGAGACCAGCCTGGCCAACATGGCGAAACCCCATCTCTACCAAAAACACGAAAATTAGCTGGGCGTGGTAGCACACTCCTGTAATCCCAGCTACTCAGGAGGCTGAGGCAGGAGAATCCCTTGAATCTGGCAGGCGGAGGTTGCAGTGAGCCGAGATCGTGCCACTGCACTCCAGCCTGTTGACAGAGTGAGATCCTGTCTAAAATAAATAAACAAATAAAAATATAAATGCAAAAAAAAAAAAAAAGAAAAAGAAAACAACATCTAGCCGGGCACGGTGGCTCACACCTGTAATCCCAGCACTCTGGGAGGCTGAGGTGGGTGGATCGCTTGAGATCAGGAGTTCAAGACCTGCCTAGCCAACATGGTGAAACCCCATCTCTAAAAATTAGGCAGGTGTGGTGGCGCACGCCTGTAGTCCCAGGGCAGGGCTAGGGCAGGCACATGGACCGGGTGCTCGGCGACCGCACCTACGGCACACTGCTGCAGCTCACCCGGATGTACCCCGGCCTGCAGGTGTACACCTTCACTGAGCGCATGAGGGCCTCCTGTGACCAGATCTTCCAGGACGAGATGGGCAAGAACCGGTGAGCTATTCGGGAGGCTGAAGCATGAGAATCACTTGAACCCGAGACGTGGAGGTTGCAGTGAGCTGAGGTTGCAGTGAGCTGAGATCGCATTACTGCACTCCAGCCTGGGTGACAGAGTGAGACTCTCTCTCTCTCTCAAACAAACAAACAAACAAACAAAAAATAATTTCTTGGCCGGGCACGGTGGCTCACGCCTGTAATCCCAGCACTTTGAAAGGCCAAAGCAGGCAGATCACCTGAGGTTGGGAGTTCGAGACCAGCCTGACCAACATGGAGAAACCCCATCTCTACTAAAAATACAAAATTAGCCAGGTATGGAGGCGCATGCCTGTAATCCCAGCTACTTGGGAGGTTAAGGCAGGAAAATCACTTGAACCCGGGAGGCAGAGGTTGCAGTGAGCCGAGATCGTGCCATTGCACTCCAGCCTGGGCAACAAGAGCAGAACTCCATCTCAAAAAAAAAAAAAATTCTTCTTAGAACCTAAGGCTCAGAGCCGAGATCGCACCACTGCACTCCAGCCTGGGCAACAGAACAAGACTCTGTCTCAAAAAAAAAAAAAAAAAAAGAAAAGAAAAAAAAAAAGAACCTAGGGCTCAGAGAGATGACATGATTGGCCAGGATCACATGGCTGGTGAGCAGAGGGGCCAAGTTCAAGGTCCAGTTTGGGACAAGCCCAGCTGTCACTACCCACCCCAGATGCATTGCCTGGCCCACTTACCTTCCCATCTGGCACACTGCTATATCCACTGAAGTGCAAGGGGCCCGGCACAGTGGGCCTGGAGTCTGTGGAGAAGTGGTGGTCCAGGCAGGTGGCCAGGCAGAGAGGCAGGCCGGCCCAGCAGCACAGGAGGAAGTAGACGGCAGAGAAGACCACAGAGCACAGGATGATGAGCACGAGCCGACCCTGAGGGAGACAGTGGCCATGGGCGGGTGTATGTGGGGAGGGGCTCCCAGAAGCCCCTTCAGCGCTGCACCTGGCCTCCTGGGTCTAGAGCAGCTCCTAGAACAGCAGCAGAATCCAGTCTCCACCCATTGGGCCTTACACGGGGATGCCAAGCTCTGGGCACATAAGGCCCTGGAGATACCACTGTCATTATCCCCACCTTCTAGATAAGGAAAGCAGTTCGGGGTGAAGTGAGTAGTACAAGGCCATACAGCAAAGAAGCACCACAGTGGGGCCTTAAATACAGGCTGGAAAGCCCATATTTCTAACTGGAGGCTGGGGTGTACTATGTGAGCTGTGGCTCTCCATCCCTCTGGGCCTGTTTCCTCCTCTACAAACTGGGGACTGATAACGCCTACCGTGACCTGTGGCTCTCCATCCCTCTGGGCCTGTTTCCTCCTCTGCAAACTGGGGACTGATAACGCCTACCGTGTGAACTTACGGGAGGGGCAGTGAAAGCGTTCTGTATACTGTAAAGTGCTGTGCACATGACAACGGGAAAGTGGTGCCTCAGAAGGGCCACCAGCCTCTTCAGCCTAGGACCAGGGCTGCCTAGTGTGGCCCTGCCTCCGCCCCACCCCCAGCTGACTCAGTGGCCGTCTGATGATCAGCAGGCCAGGTGGCACAAGGAGATTGGAGCAAATGTCATTCAAGAAATGGCTTTAATAATTGAAAAGCTGGCCGGGCGCTGTGGCTCAAGCCTGTAATCCCAGCACTTTGGGAGGCCGAGACGGGTGGATCACGAGGTCAGGAGATCGAGACCATCCTGGCGAACACCGTGAAACCCCGTCTCTACTAAAAAATACAAAAAAACTAGCCGGGCGAGGTGGCGGGCGCCTGTAGTCCCAGCTACTCGGGAGGCTGAGGCAGGAGAATGGCGTAAGCCTGGGAGGCGGAGCTTGCAGTGAGCTGAGATCCAGCCACTGCACTCCAGCCCGGGCTACAGAGCGAGACTCCGTCTCAAAAAAAAAAAAAAAATAATAATAATAATAATAATAATAATAATTGAAAAGCTGGTGCCTGGAGGCTCCTGCCTCCAGAAACCATGTTCCAAAGGCCGTTGGAACCAGGAAGCTCTTCTAGCCATCCGGGCTAGGCCCAGCCTGGGGCTGCCCTCCTGGCAGACTTAGTGAATGCCTCCACCACCACCAAACCTCCCAGGAGGGGAGGGGCTTGGTGGCAGCAGAACTGCGGGCTAGTCACTGGGTAGTGGTCCACCCTGGTCACCACCTGTGTCTCTCTGGGCTCCAGTTTTCTAGACTCTAGGCCACCGTTCAGAAGCCACCGAGCCCTTGGCTGGTGCTCTCTGAAAATCAGAAGTGGGCAAGTCGCCCCCACCCCCCACCCCATCACCCCCACCCACCCCGGCGCATCCTGCCCAAGGCCCACCATTTTCTGCCCGCAAGCTACGTCAGCTTCTAAAAATAAGTCTTTTCTGTGTGGCCAGCTGTGCAGGGGAGGTAGTTCTGCCTGGCATCTGCTCCCCTGCCCATGAGGAACCAGAGACCTTGACTCAGGCAGTTGAGATGAACTGCCCCCCACAGCCAGCTGTCTGTCTCTCACAACCCGGGGCTTCTGCGGTAAAGACAAGAGCGGCTGAACTGAACTTTCACACCCCCAGTCCCAGGTAGGCCTTGCCTGGTTAGCTCGTAGTGTTACCTCCGTTTTACAGGGATAGCAAGGTACGGACACCGCAGAGGGGATGCCACCCGCCTGGGGTCACACAGAGAGCTGGACTTTGAGGCCATTCTGCCTTTCTCTGCTGGGCAGCAGGGAGGTCAGAAGTGGCAGTGGCTCCTGGGGTGGAGAGGCTGCTGAGCTGCTCCGCTGGTCGGGGTCTCTGGGTTCCCTGGAAGTCCTCCTTCTTCCACCACTTACCGGAGCCTTCATGCTGTCACTGTCCCTCGGTAGTCTAGGGGCTGCTGTCTCCAGGGCTGGGGCTGGGAAGGGGTGGGAGCCGGGCACCTGCCAAGACCCAGAAACTCAGAGCCAGGAGGGGTAAGGCACATGAGGTTCTAGGCTATCGGGAAAACTGAGGCAGGGGAGGGTACAGGCCGGGGTGAAAGCACATGGCGCCCGGGAATCCAACCCCTTGACGTCTCCAAACACCGGAAGGCAATGTCCCCATCCTAAAAGAGCAGGACTCAGCGACTTTTGCGAGACCTCCTGCCAACCCAAGAGGCAGCCAGGGGGCACCCCCAGCTCAAGGTCACCAATCGGGTCTGGGGCAGAGAGAACCAGAAGCCCGGAATTCCACCCCATCCATCCTACCTCTCTACCCGGGGGACGAATGGAGAGGCCGGGGAAGGGCAGGACGTGGGATTTTCACCGCCCTTCCAGATTCCACTGCCTCATCTCCCGGCCGGGTGCTAACCGGGCGTGGAGGCTGGGGTTCGCAGGAGGCTCGCGATCCGCTGCTCGGAGCTCCATGGCCCCCGGGCCGGGCCGACCGGACTGGAAGCTGATCCGAGCGGCCAGAGGCAGGGGGCGGGGCCGGGGCCGGCAAGGACGGGCGGAGACTCGCGCGCCTGGGGCGGGGCCTGCGCGCCGCAGGCGGATCCTACGAGCGCAGCCTGCGCGACCTGGGGAGGGCTCTGCGCGGCCGGGACGGGGCGGGACGTGAATGGCTGGCGGCGAGGCCTCCAGCTAGGGGCGGGGCCTCAGGGCCGGGGGCGGGGCTTCAGAGCCGGGGCGGAGTCTGAGTACCAGCATCTCCCTTTTCTGTCCTCCGCATTTCCAGCAGGCTCCTGCCTGGGCGAGGCTGTCGGGCTGCAGGGGAAAGAGACCTAGAGTGTGTCGGGGGCCACCGGGCAGTGGCGGCCTGGCTGTCCGGACTTGAGTGTCTCCATTTCTGAAATGGTGGTTGGGCAGGGAAATTAAGCGGGGCTTCCGGTCAGGCAGTCCACGTTTCAACTGGTAGGGTTGCTGGATTTATCAAGTAAGATAGAGAATGCCCAGTGACACTGGAAATTCAGATAAACAACGAATACATAAGTTATTTTCAATATGATTATTTTATTATGATTATGTCAGTGTGACATTCACCTGAGCCTGTTTTTCTCCTCTGAGACCCACGTGCAGAAGCGGCTCCTGTCACAGCCAAGATTCGAACCCAGGCAGTTTCACTCCAGACCAGGGGCTGTGACCACCTACTCTTACCTCTCAAAGGCTCCCTCGCTGGAATGTCCTCCAAATCCAAGTCAAGTTAGCCCAGGCCCTGGGCAGATGCCGCAGTGTGTCCTATTGGGGTCCCTTGGGATCTCAGAGGCAACTGCCTTCAGGCGCCAGGCTGGTGGCAGAAAGCACTGGGACGGTAGCAGGGGTGGGCCTATGGGGAAGTGAGAGGGCACACTTCCCGTCTAAGTTTTTTTTTTTTTTTTTTTGAGACAGAATCTCTGTTGCCCAGGCTGGAGTACAGTGGCACCGTCTTGGCTCATTGCAACCTCCGCCTCCCGGGTTCAAGCAATTTCCAGCTAACTTTTGTATTTTTAGTAGAGACAGGGTTTCACCATGTTGGCCAGGCTGGTATCGAACTCCTGACCTCAAGTGACCTGCCTGCCTCAGCCTCCCAAAGTGCTAGGATTACAGGCGTAAGCCACCACGCCCGGCCCTTGTTTATGATTTTTTTTTTTTTTTGCAAAATGTTGCATTGGCCAGAAAGATCTTCTCCCCATCCCCGCCACACCCACCTCCTCTGCAGGGCGCTGGCCTGGGAACCAGCTTGGGCTCCTTCCCTGGTCTCCATTTCAAACTCCTTTTTCCTTTTTCTCAGAGGCTCAGGCCTGGGCTAGATGCCAGGGTATCTGTCCCCAGCTCAGCAACCTTCCCAATCTACCCTGCTCTAGGTTCAAAGCCATATCACCCCTGGGCCTGGTGCTGTAGGACTCAGTGCCTGTCCAGGGGCTGGGAGGAGGGCTGCTGTAGTGGCCCTGCCCCCCAGGGGCCTCCTTTGAGCACAAACTCTCCTGTCTCTGCCACTCCAGCCTGGACACATGTGGGGAGTAGTGGTTCACCCTCAGTCACCATGGCTCCTCACCCACACAAGGCAGTGTGTCCCCAAAGCCAGGGCCCTTCCTTCTCAGTCCTCATTCTTCAAGTTTCTTTGCTCATAGGCCCAACCCTGAGGGCACAATGGTGAGAAGTTCCCTATGGATTCACGCACTGCCCACAATGGCTGGTGAGATGATGATTCCTTCCCCAGAGAGGCAACTCCACCCTTGCTAGGACCACATGGAGACAGCAGCATGCCCAAATGGTCCGGGCTCCCAGGGGAGCTGAGGATTATAAGACTACAGTGGAACTGTGACCGGGAAGTCCTACAGCCCCAGAGAAACTTCTTCACTTTGCTTTTGGCAAAAACCTACTCTGCTTACCACAACCTACATGATCCTACACGGGGTGAACTCCTTCAATCAGCCTTTACCGACCCTGGCCACCCTCCGGCCGCCAATCATACTGAAGCCGTTCCTACTGCAGGACCTTTGCACTCACTGTGTCCTCTGCTGGACGGCACTAGTCATAGAGTGGCTCCTCTTGTCATTCAGCTGAAGCATCACCTCCTCTGAAAAGCCCTTGCCAACCACCCAGCTGACACTGCACCCCCATCCCTCTTGCCTCACCCCAACTCAGTATTTCATAGTGGTTGTCACACTCTGAAATTGCCCTGTGTATTAACCGGTTGCCTCGTTTATGGTCCACCTGCCCCACAGACTCTAAGCTCCATGTGGGCCAGGGCACCTCCACACCTGCACAGAGCCCAGCACAAACTAGGTGCTAGGTCACGTCTATCAATGCATGAGTTAGGAGAGCCTGGGTCCCATGAGTTCTTGAACAAATCACTTTCCTCTCCAGCCTGAGGTCCCGGCTAGGCTCATGGCCAGAGACCCAAAGGTGGAGAGGGGCTGAGTCATCCTTATGTGTGACAGCAGGACTCTGTGGCACTGACTCAGCCCTGTGGGATCCAGACGGGTAGAAATGTGGAGTCAGACTCTAGTTCCTGTTGCAATTCCCTGCCACCTCTGAGTTTCCCTGGCCCATCACCTCCTGAGTGATGGGCATGACACACTCTATGTCACAACTTCCTGCTAAAGCAAGAACAAGAAATTTCCACTCAGCTCATGCCAGCACAGAGAGGTTGAGAAATCAGGCAAGGTCACCCAGCCAACTAGGAGTGATATCAATATTTAAAGTACATATATTCTGGTGAAGTGCAGCGGTTCATGCCTGTGGGCCCAACACTTTGGGAGGATCAAATTGGGCAAATTGCTGGAGCCCAGGAGTTCAAGATCAGCCTGGGCAATATGGCGAGACCCTGTCTCTGCAGAATAAAATAAAAGTAGCCAGGTGTAATGGCACATGCCTGTAGTCCCAGCTACTTGGGAGGCTGAGGTGGGAGGATCACTTGAGCCCAGGAGGTTGAGGCTGCAGTGAGCTGTAATCCATGCCACTGCACTCAAGCATAGGTGACAGAGGGAGACCCTGTCTCCAAAAAACCCAAAAACCAAATATTCCAGGAACCCTGCAGCCAGAGCTCTCTCTTTCCTCCCACTTCCCCCTCAGCCATCTTTCTTTTTTTGTTGTTGTCTTGTTTGAGACACAGTCTTGCTGTGTTGCCCAGGCTGGAGTGCAGTGGTGCCATCTCGGCTCACGGCAACCTCTGCCTCCTGGGTTCAAGGAATTCACCTGCCTCAGCCTCCAAAGAAGCTGGGACTACAGGCGCCCGCCACCACACCTGGCTAATGTTTGTACTTTTAGTAGAGACGAGGTTTCACCATGTTGGCCAGGCTGGTTTCAAACTCCTGACCTCAAGTGACCCACCCACCTTGGCCTCCCAAAGTGCTTGGATTACAGGCATGAGCCACCACGCCTCGCCCCTCAGCCATCTTTCTTTGGTGGGATCTGATGGGTCAGTGGAGTAGCAGTGTGCATTGCAGCTGAATGGCTTCCCCGAGGTCCCGCACCGTCCAATCCTGGGGGTCCACTCTTGGCCCACGTGGCCCCCTCCCACTCGGAAATGTTTTCCTTCTCTCACTCCAGGCCCTTGCTGTGCTCTTAACTTGGGACCCTCCTAGGGACATGTCAGACTCTTCTCTGGTCTCAGTGGAGAAGTTAAAGCCTTTCCCCCAATACTATCCATTAAATGATCAGGTAGCGGTCCCTTCCCCCAGACTGTGAGTTCCGCGAGTTCCATGAAGGCAGAATCTGTGCCACTTGCTTCCTCCCCAGGTCCCCATTACCCAGCAGAGGGCCTGTCACGTGGCAGGTGCTCAGCAAATATTTAATGAGTTAATGAGGTCTGTTTCCATTCTTTCATTTTACAGATTAGACCAGCGAGGCACAGAGAGGTTTAGCACCTTGCCCCAGTCACACAGCCAGGCCCTGGAGCAGCTCTGGAGGGAAGGCCCGCTTGGGCTTGGGCATGGTCAGATTGAACTGGGGTCAGAGGCCAGGCTGGAGTTTGCTGGAGGAAGGAGAAGGAGTGATCAGGGGCCATGCAGGCTCCCGGTGATGTCTGTGCAGCCAAGACCTTGGTCTGACCATGGACCCTTGCCCCCATTTCACTGATGAGAAAAGTGACTTTCAAAGAAGGGCAGAGCTCACTTCAGATCAATAGTAGACACCGTTCAGAATGCCTCCCAGAGCTCCAGGCAGCCCCCCAGGACCCCACCTTCCCCCACCTGCATCCCTAGAGTATCGGGCCAGGAGCAGGGGGTCGGGAGGCCTGGGTACTCGGGGCCGACCTTGCCACTTACCGGTGCATAAGCCCCTTAAAGTCTCTGGGCCTCAGTTTCCCCATCTGGACGACAAGAGGGCTGCAGCCTTCAGCCTCCCCCCTTGCCCAGATCATGAGGACCAAGCTGCAGGAGCTGGTGGTTAAGAATACAGGCTCCGGAATCCAAAAGTCATGGTTGAGTCCTGGTTCCAGCATTTATTGCTGAATGATCTTGATCGGTCCCTTCACCCCCTGAGCCTCCATTTCATGGTCTGTAAAAAGAGAATAATAGCATTTTTTTAAGGACTAAATGAGCTAAAGTAGGGGAATCCTTGGCATGATGCTGGGCACGGCACCACCGTCAAACCGGGCTGCGCGGTTACGGTATTAGTTAGGGGATGCTGCCCTCTGGCGACCATCAGGAGGAAGCGCAGGCGAGATGCTCGGGCCCAAGGGAACCGGTGTTCCTGGCGTGAGCCCACCATCCAGATCCGGAAAGTGGGGCCGGGCGCCCGTCACTCTGTGTGCTCCTCCACCCACTGGCAGAGGCGACGGGCGTAGCGAGCCGGGCTGACAGTGGAGAAGGTCCGGCCCGGGTAGCGCAGTGTCTTCCACAGGTGCTCCAGCCGCTTGCGGAGCCCGTAGACCGTGGCGAGATCCACGACGCCCAGGAAATAGCGCTGCTCGGGCCCGTCCAGGATGTGTAGGGCGTTGGGGGCGTCGGGCAGCAGCCGGCGGTTTTGGACTCCCGACTCTTCCGGGCTCTGTGCCCCTTGCACAGACCTGGGGGCCGACAGGAGGATGAAGCTGCCACCTCC